TAGCCGGGGGGTGGTGGTGGTGGTGGTTCACAGCCGCTTCTCGGCCCTGTCCCTGCGCTCCTCTGCCCGAAACTAAGATCCCCCGGGTGGGATTTTGGCGGGGGGGGGGGTGCGGGTGTCTGCGGGTGTGTGGAGGGCACGGGGTGCTGCAGGGCTGCGGTGGCTGCTGCGGGCTCTGGCCATGATGTAATGGGAACGTCGAGGGTACGGCCAGGCCAGGGCGAGGGGGGGGGGAATACATCTCCTTGTGTGAAGGATGCAGCTGGTTTTCGAAGAACTTGATGTTGGTGTCCGATGGTGTGCCGGTACGTCGTGGATTTCAGATGGTTCCTCCCCATCCTGGCTGGGTGTTACTGCCAGAACCTAAACCCAGGAAAGGAATTTCCTATTTCCTCAGTAGAAATAGGAGATTCCCCTTTTCACTTGCATAGGAAATACTAGGATTTTTCTGTTCTTCTTCTTGTGGTTGACCCAGGAAGTCATCTTGTCGCCAGCCTACTGGGTTTTTTTGCTCTAAAGGTGCAGGGAGGAGGGTGTTGCTTTGCTCTGGATCCTGTGGGTAAGCGTTGAAGGCAGTGACAGCAGCTGCTGTTGGCTCTGGAGCTCTGGTTGCTATGAGAGAAGCTTCAGTAGACTTGGCTGCTATCTCCAGGGAAGGACAGCAGAGCAGCCTCCATTAGTGTGGTGGTGGAGAGATGGCTGGCTCACGTTCAGCAAAGGGCTTTACTTTTCGGACCATCTCCACAGGTCCAAAGCAGAAGCGGGGGTATGTTTTGGTCCGGTGGGACAAAAATCTACAAGGTGGGTTTCATTGCTGCTTTTGAGTTAGTGGAATTGCACCTAAGTGTGGGCTGGAAACCCTGAGTTACCCCTTCCAGATATTTTGGTCCGTGTGAAAAGTAGGACAGCGAGCATTGATATGATCTTCCTGTTAAGTGAAGGCTGTAGTCGTGTCTCTTTTGAACTCCAGCCTCCTTTCCAGCCAGTAACAGAGCCAGATGCTTTTCTTATTGTTTGTATGTCTCCTTCCTCCCCTTCCATCGCCTGGGCCCCACTTGCCTTATTGACTGGAATTTCTGCTGTGTGCAGTGGGTGTGTGCAGCAGACACCAGCCTGCTAGTGCTGAGGAGGGATTTTCCATTCACAGACCAGGGAACAGTCAAAATAAAGGCCCGGCTCGACTTTGGGACTGGAAACAGAAAGCAGAGAGAGGAGTTTCCTTCTGCTGCAGAGTAAAATTTATCCTCTCTGCTTCTTATGGGGTTGTATGTCAAAATGTATAGAAAATGCTGCTCTGCTGTGGAATAGGGAGGTGAAACTCCTGTGAATAATAGGGAAGATTCCTCTCTTTCAGTTGACTCAAATGCTTGATGAAGGAACAGTTTGCAGGAGGCCATTTTTGACATGACTATGTATTGTGGAATCTGCCAGCTTCTATCCACACTCTGTCTACTTGACTGCAATAGCTTCCTTTTTTTTTTTTTAAGGAAGAATGAGTGCCTTTCTTATCTGCTTAACTAACCATTTGGCACTGGCCGCTGTCTGTATGATATTGTGTTGTTGAGTTGGACCTATCAGCATGTTCCAGTGCATTTGTTAAAGATGAAACTGTTAGTAGAGGTATGCAATAAGGGAAATGGGAATACATTAATGTTAGAAAACAACTGCCATCTTTGTAAGCTAACACCTATAATGGGGAGCCCCTTGCCCTGGCCTGAGTTTCTGAGAACTCAGAATTACTATGAGCTTGAAGCAAAAATTCCAGGACTAGAATAATGTGAGAGAGATTAAAGTATGCCCTTAAATCCACTTGACTGGCAGCAATCGTGTGGTGGATGCCAAACTCTGAGTAGCTTTTATATTTGAGGATCTGTAGCACCCAAATTGTTTCACGAGTTGGGGTGAGCAACTTCTAACCCACCTAAAATGCATCCATCACTGGGGCTGAATGTGGTATCTGCTGCCTAGCATGGCGTGTCATGACAACAGTAATGAATTTAGGATTTTGTGAGTATGAAAACTAGCTCCTCAGTTTAATAAAATACAGCAAGTGATCTGCATGGCCCCTTAGTCTTTGTTTACAGTCTCTCTGTATGTTATAATGGGGAATTAGTCCGCTGCCTCGCATCCTGTTGAACAACTGGCACTGCTTTGACAAGGCCCTGGCTTTTCGTTTTACTGTCATATCCCAAGTGACCTGAAAGTAATATTCCTTAGCTAATGTTGTCTGAGATTTCCTCATCCCAAGGTGGGGTGGTGAAATACCACGTACATTTAAATCCCTTTTTAGAAAGAGGACTCAGTTACAGCCAGATCTTATTTTGAAAAGTAATAGGTCAAAGTTGAAAAAACCCATAGGAAAGAGATGGCATTGAACTGGCATCTCAGAACATGCAAAAGTTTAAGCTCTTTTTGGGGGGGGGGGGGAGAAGTGGCAGGGGAGGAAGAACCAGCAACCATTGATTTAAATTCTCCAAATATTCCATGAAG